AGGTTGTAAAGAAAAAGTTTTTCCTACTGTATTTCCTTAAAAAAAAAACCCCAATCATTCTCAAAAACAAGCTTCTGAAAGGATACATCCCTTCTGTTTGGTATACTCTTCTTACAAAATGGATTGCCAAAGTATTTGAGACATACAATAGGGGTTCTCTTAAGTTCTCATTTATCCAGGCATAGCGGACTTTACTATTAGATCTAGCAGGTTTACTTAGCAGCCCCAATCATTCTCAAAAACAAGCTTCTGAAAGGATACATCCCTTCTGTTTGGTATACTCTTCTTACAAAATGGATTGCCAAAGTATTTGAGACATACAATAGGGGTTCTCTTAAGTTCTCATTTATCCAGGCATAGCGGACTTTACTATTAGATCTAGCAGGTTTACTTAGCAGCCATTAAGTACCTTCCTGGCGTAAAAGTTAATTCTCCATTTTAGCACACAGCTGTTTTTGTTTGGTCTCTAGGGTACTCTGGCATTTAAGAGACAGACCTAGTTTAGCATCATCTCCCTTCCCTGCAGTGTTCTTCCTGTTCACATTCTGGATGGTACGCTTTAATAACACACTTCTGTGCTAGTTCACTGCGTTTCAGCAAAGGAAAACTCTTAAAAGGCCACTTGTTCGTTTTAGGTTCTGGCAAAGCCTTACTAGATGATTGATACAAAATCATCACTGCCATTTGTTCCACTTTAAATGTCATCAATGTTCCAATTAGCACAATGTGAAACAAGTACTTTTCCACCACAGTATGATCCTGGTTGCTGTCAGAAAGCAAAGTTTTTCCTTCACTGGAAGGCATTAGGAGTGAAGTTAGCAATTACTTGATCCTACATTAATTTTGGGATGGTCTGAGCCATTTTGGTAAGATTTACCACCTCTTCTTAGAAACTGGACTGGCTTTCCATTAGTCCAGGATTCTTACATCTCTCCAAATCATTTGCTGTTCCTTTCACACACAGAGAAGCAGACAATCTCAGTTTGGATTACACAAAAGAGATTTCCCATTTTTACATTTAATAGAAACATCACTTCTTTCTGTAGTTGCATGCCATTTTTAAAACAAAACAGGGGGGCCTAGATTCCCAAAACATACCTTTTGCACTCTATTAGTGGCTTTCTTTCAGAAACCCATTCTGTCCAGTCAGCTATCACAGAATTTTGGCAAGATTTAATGCAGGGAACAGAACAAGATAGATTGCTTAGGTTGTCAAGTGGATTATACTACTTCATACTACAGGTGCCAAACCCCATGCTTGTTTTTTTTTTATATAAAAAAGGAAACTGTATAAAAACTAGCACACGCAGAGGATTGGATTAGGACATCTTCATGTGCTTGGAATTGTCACATTACAATGGTGTCTCATAACTGCACTCTGAAGTGGAACATTCTGATCTACCACCTCAGAACCGCCCACTTAATTTTGCTACCTGTGTTGATCAGACCTTATAGGTGCCTCCTCCCCCAATTCTTGCTGTACCTATTAATACCCCACATGAGAACACCATTTAGGACGGTCACCATTTAGGCTATGGTTCCAGGCAGGCTGGTTTAAGGATTCTCCAATTAGTTATGCATCCCCAAGTTAGCAATGTTTCTAAATTGTGAGGATAAAAATGAATTTGACTTAGGAAATCTACCAGCAATCAGAGAACCTTAAGCAAGCATTCTCAAAGAGAAAAAAGGATGAACATACAATCCACTGTAGCCCTACAAAAGCTAGTGCAAGTGTGGGGCTAATTCTAAGAGTTGGCTGCAAAGATTACAGACCTTGCACATATCAGAAGTGATGGGCAGAACTGGGAAGTATTGGCAGGCACTTTCTCTGGGAACTTTCATCTCATTCATTTGGAGCAACCAATGAGACAGCTGACTTTACAGATAGCACTCCTGTTTCTTGCAATTGCCTGATGTTTTTCTCCATATCTTTTTCTAGTGACAGACCCAACTTTATAGAATTTCCTCTCAAAAAAAGATAGTTCAGCTCCTTGAATGCAAGTCATATAACTTAGAGAAAGGATGGAAACTGTGATGTATACAGTAAAGTGATATTATATAAATGGACATTTTCAGCGTTAGCTAGACATACAAAGGCCTACATTAATTAATACTTTAGTCATTGCAGTAGTAACTATTTACACAGGTACAGACAAAATTAAAAACTTTTTTATTTCAAATAAATTGAGTGTTTAGCACTCCTATTGCAATCAAATTAAACAGAAAAAACTAAAAAATCAGTTTCAAGTTTAAATAATTTTTACACTGGACTACAAATAACAGATTAGCATTTTCCTTAAAAGAACAGACCACTATAAGTATTCCTTTGTGCAAATGAACACCATGCTTGTTAACAGTTTGTTTTATTTCAGTGACATAATCAGCATATTTTAGAATTATACAACTGGCTGTATTTCTCTAAAAAAAATTAAGACCTGCTGGTTATTCCAGCCCATCTTCCCAATTACATAGTACAGAAAATCATGCACTTCCACCTGCAGACTATTCTATCATGTGCTACAAGCCCCAGTGTACATAAAATTAGATAGCTGCCTACCTAGAAAAATGTCTAACTGCTTCTAACATTTTACTGGGTGGCCATTTGCTTTAGTCAACAACAATGTGCTTGCTTTCAAGAAGTACAAAAAGTCCTGGTTCCCCATATCATTGCTGCTGCCCACAGGTACTGGAGCGCCACATATGCTTGAATGTTGCAGAAGCTGGCTATATTGCAAAATTCACAGCTGTGAAAAAAGGCTTCCCAGATATAAGGTCTATAGTTTCCTAAGAAAGGCTACAGAATTTTAACTGTCAGTTCTCTTTTACAGTAGCCAGAAGCACTAGCAAATATTTCCCCATAAATTTCAGTCAAAATACAAAATTAGAATTGAATGTATTAGAAGCCACAACAGTAAAGTTATCCTTTATATTAACAGAATTTACTAGTTTATGCTTCAGACACAACCAGTATTTGTGGCACATTCAAGAGGCACGTATATTTAAGGAGAACTAAATCGTTTTTTATTTTTTTTCTAAAAACAGACTGAAGTAACCATTTAACAGATTTTGGCTACAGTCCTAAACATGTGTCCAAGAGCTCACCAAAATAAAAGGACATCTGCATGAACAGGATTTGGATCAACTGTAAAACCTATAAATCAAGAGGTTTAATGACTGGAAGAAGCTGAGTTGTGGACATTGGGTTCTTTGGAGACCCTCTATAGCGAAGCTTTTTTCCTGGCAAAGTTTTTCTAAAAACACCTTTATCAGGTGTAGCAACTGAAACATTCATATTTGTGTTCATTTTTACAACTGCTTTTGGCGCTTCATGATTTGTGAGGTCCTCAAGGACAGATTTGGATTGGTTACTAGGAATCAATTTCTCTTTGAAGGCTTTATCAAGCTTTTCAGCTTGCTCTATTGGATGTATCACTTGTGGGTAAGATCTGGAAGATAAAGCAAGCTGATCACATGTCCATGTTTGCTTATTCATTGTTTCAGAGGATAGTGAAATTGTAGATGTACTGGAGGTAATTTCTGTGCAGGAAGATAGTGCAGTTTCAAAACTCACCGACTTAACAAGGGGATAGCCATCACCGGATTTCATTACTTTGCAAGTAACTGCCTGTTTTTTAGAGTCTAAGAGTGAGTTCATTCTCCTTACAGACTGACGGACGGGAGTACGTTGAAACTTCAGAGGTGGTTTGGTTTTGGTTGCAGAGCAGGGTTCATTCAACGACAGTTTGTTGAACCAATGTATATGGTCAGCAACCTTTCCTGAAGGTGAAGGTTTAGATTTTTCAGAAGTTTGCATATGTAGGTACTGCTTGCTGTTCCTATCTTCATGTTCTGGCAACTGAGAGAGAGGCACCTCTCCTTTTTTTCCAAGGAGTTCCTCAGTCTTTTTCTCTGAATTGTAGGATTTCAATGAGTTATCTTCAACAGTACCTTCTGGGGTGAATTGCCAATTTGATTCTAGAATATCTTTTTCCAGGGTGTGTATTTTATTCAAATGGTCACCTGCAGAGACCAGCTCAGTTTGTTGTTCCTCTTGTATTGACACATCACTTTTGCTTAACTCATGGACCGGATGATCAGGCAATTTAGTATTTTTGAAGAAGGGTCCCTCCGTGGACTTTATGTCACTCATACTTGACCGAGATTCATCAGTGGCACTACATTCATTAGAAGAGCTAGCAAACTGACTCTCCTTTTCCACCTTTGCTGTTTCTTGAACTTTTAAGTGCTGTCTATCCCCACTTTCTGAAACACATCCATTTTCTTGTGTTAAATTTAATTTTGAAGGTTCTGTTTCACATAAGTTATGAAGGTTACTTCCAGATTCAGAAAAGGCTTTCTTAATTTTTAATAAAGTGTCTGTAGTCATATTATTTTCTTCCTCGCAGAAGGATGTTTGTTGCATATTATTGTCCTGTTCCATACTTGCTTCAGTGGGCCTGGGTACAGCAGTAATGGCCAAACATTTTTTAGCAATAAGAACACGCTCTGAAGAACAGCTTTCTTCAAGACATGCCTTTAAAGTAGCACCAATGTTATGAGTTTCCTGAGGGTTGGTGGTACTGGGGCCAGTCCAGGACATTCGGTAGCTTTTTTCATCATGGTGATTTGGAATTAACAAGTTTTCCTCTGACTTGCTGATGCTTTTGGAACCTAAAGAAATGCAATATTACTTTAACAATTACAGCCAGTTATAATCTTACACAGAATAATCAAAATGGTTATACCACAATACCACAATACCACACTAGGGCAGTGCAATTAGGCAGTCTCTAGGTTAAATGTATTTTTTTATTAATTGGATTGCAGAAATGCAGAGTGAAAGTGCCTCCAGGAGATGACTCACCCACAAAAGAACAGGCAACTATAGCAGCAGCTCTGCTCTGTTTTGGCCCCATTAAAATGCAAAAGTCCCTAACACGTTATGAGCATTTATGACTGCAGAGGAATAGTGAGATGTGATTTTAAAAATATAAGGGCAATGGCAGACTGCCTCATTCAGCTTGCTCAATAGGACCTCTTGTGTTTGTCAGGCTTGGGACAACAACATGCTGCTGCACTAGTCCACAGGGAAATGCAGTAGGAGAGAGCTGCTTACTCTGCACTCAGCCAGCATGGGTATTTGCATAGACTGGGGTCACCTCAGCTTCTTGCCTGTCATTTAGTTCTGTGGCTCAAGAGCAGAAAAAGAGCCATGAGCTGCTACCTAAACAGTGGACCACAATAACTGCCCATCTTAAGACCAGATGGCAAAGTGACCCATTGTTGTTGTTCTGTTGCACAGTCGAGTCTGACTCTTTGCGACCCCATGGACCACATCACGACAGGCCCTCCTGTCTAAGCGACCCATAAGAGCAGCCAAACAGTGCAGAGCAGTGAGACTTCCTCCTAAATTAATAGCAAGACAAAATATTCAGCCTTCATGATTAAGTCTTTTCCTAGGAATCCAGATCAAATGTCGTGCATTAGTACTAGAAACATATAACATATTTTAAACTTCTAAACAGGCCTTGCATTCGCATTTTTATGAAAAACCTGACACAAAGAAAAGTCAGACATCTCAACCCAAATTGGTATGATAGGTAATGTTTATATAGTGGCTCTGCCAATTTGCATGTTTTCTCCCTTCAAGGGCCTCAGTATCTTTTTGCCTACTCTAAGGCATTTTATTTTCCTTGAGATTTTAGATTCTTTTCTACCCTGAATGAAACACAGTAAGCAGCATGATATTTTTAACAACAAGACACGCTTACCTTTCTTTGTTATACAATCACCAGTACATGGACTTAATAATGAAACTGCCTTTAGAAAATCTGTTCCACTTTCCGTGTCTTGTTGATTTGCAAGTCTACGGCCAATATTTTCAGATCTGTTAACTGGATGCTCCATTGCAGTATTCTTTTTAGATTTAAAAAAAAAACAAGTTAATTGCATGTTGATTCTTCAAATGTTTTTACAATTTAAAGGAGCATAAGAGAATGAAGAGATGCTACCGCACTATAAAGTAGGCTTGTGTTGATAACTTTCGATCCTCTTTCCAAGTGGATGCTTGGAAGCATATAGCAATTCTGTCAGCACCAGGCCCTCGAGACATAGGTCTGTTGGGTTAATGGGCTATGCTTAGGAAGCAGAAACAGTAGATGGAGCAAAGGACAGAGACTAAAGTAGTGATGCGAGGCTGTAGGAAGGGAAGGAGGAATGAAGACATCTATTGAGAATTGAAAAGCAATGAAGATTATGCAGCAGTGACAAAGACCTTCATGCAGTTATTACACTATTTCAGCATGCAGCTTTTAGGCTCTGGAACTTCACCACAGATACTAGGTTGGATACAGAACAAAATTTCCACTTGTACTAGAGCTGCTGTGCAAGTTGAAATGAGGAAAAAGTCCTGCACCATTAAGTATAATAAATTATTGTATCCCCACTTGCGTTTCTGCTCGCACAAGATTTTGTGCGACCAGTTTCTAGGCACTGTAATATACAGGGAAGAAAACGCTAGGTGTTGCACAAGAACTTATGGAAGCAGGACTGCACTAAGACCATTTATGCTCCTGCTTGTGTGTCGCTGGATCCAAGCACTGAATCAAAATTGCCGTAGGCCAGCTTTGAAGGCCCTTAAAGGTCACAATTCTTCAGAAGACATTGCCTCGAAAATGATTTTACAACCCAAGGATTACAAATTACATACGATCTCCAAAAGTTAAGAGAGCCAGACCTATCTGTCCTCTCTTTACTCCTAACCAAGCCACTAAATAGGGTTTACAGAGCAACTGTATTTACACACACACACAGTATATAATTTTATCAGCAACTTTTTGTTAAAATTAACAAATGAGTTTAAAATATATGATAATTCCCACCACAGAATAGGCCTCTATTATGGATTGAAATAAATTAATAGAAGTGTACTTAGTACCTCTCTGCTGTTCTTTCCCAAACCGAACTTTAATCGCAACGACCTGCGCACAATTTCTTTCCGGCTAATCTTAGGAGAAAAGCAACCCGTTTTTCCAGACTCAACCCTGAAAGCAAGGAAGTAGTAACATGACTGTACATTGCATATTTCTTAATATTGAAGTCAAATAGTTTAAATACAAAGAAAAATTCCTTCAGGATAAACAGGATGTTTATGATGCTTTAAAAAATAAATAGTGAGACCTGATATGGAAGACTGTATCAAGTTCTTAAAACAAAAGTGATTAAAAAAAAAAATTAACCTGACAACCTAGAGAGACAAGGAGTAATCTGGGGGGAAACCCCCCCCCCAAAAAAAAGTCAGCTCCAGCTTTCAACCTAGAGAGAAAAGGAGAAATCTGGGGGGAAACCCCCCCCCCAAAAAAAAGTCAGCTCCAGCTTTCAGAGACCTAAAGCTGAAGAACTTGGGGGCAGTGTTTTGGCAAAATTACCTGTGAACTTTTTTGCTGGCAATCCTTTTGCTTCTTCGACTTCCTATACTAGGCAAGTGTTTGTCACTAGTGGCTGAGGTAGACAGTGAACTCTGAGATGCCTCAAGAGAAATGCAAGGACTTGCTTCAAACTGAGCTGAAGAACATAAAATTGCAGAATATATATTGGCAGTTACTGCAAAGTAATTTCCCTTTTAAAAACCAGCAGCTGAACTTCCATTGGCAGAAAAGCCTCCAATATATTTTTTAATATTTTATTATTTCAAACTATATATTTCCAGCAGACAAAAAGATGCTCTTTGACTTAGTACATGCACCCACCCTCATATACTCTCTATGTATGATTAAAAATACAGACAATAAGTATGTTTGGTTAGTTTATTTTTCTAACCACATAATAAGCACAATTTAAAGTGCTGGTTCTTACCTTTAGAACCCACAGTAGCTTGGGGGCAGGGTACTTTGAAGGACCACCTCCTCTAATACTGTCCAACCCACCAAACACCATCCTCACATGCCCTGCTCTGTGCCCCCACCTTCAAGGGTAAAGTGGGTGGTGACCAGTGTTCCCTCGAAGCTGAGTTGGTGTGAGCTAGCTCAGTTTTTTAGCCTCTGGCTCACACATTTTTGTCTTAGCTCAGGAAGGATGGCTCCAGAGCAAACTAATTTAGGCAGTAGCCAAATCGCTCGCTCATAACTTTAATGCCAGTCGCTCACAAAGTAGAATTTTTGCTCACAAGACTCCACAGCTGAGAGGGAGCATTGGTGGTGACCCAAAACAGGGTTTTTTTCAGCAGTGGCACCTCACCTATGTAATGCCCTTCCCTTTGAGGTTTTTTAACCAGCCTTTTAATTAAGAGGTTGATCTTTTAAAATCGTTTTTAGTCTGCTTCTAGCTTGAGAACTGATTTATGAGACTTATTTTAAGCTACTCAATGTTTTGAGCTAGTTTTTTAAATTGTTTGTTATTGTTAACTACTTTTACTGATATATTATGTTGTATTTGATAAGCTTCAGAGCATATACCTCAGAGAGGCAGTACAGAATTGTTTAAAAATAACACAATTTGCCACACATTTTTATAGTTCCATAGGCTTAGGGAAGCAGCAGTACCCAACAAGAATAATTAACACACCTCAGGTTTATCTAAAGTACGACCTTTTGCTCAAATCAACTGCTGGGTTTTTTTAAACAAGAGCTAGTTTCATCTTACTGATGAGCTACACTTTACTTTGCTGCCTTTTCTGCAGAAATGAGACTAAATTCACCCTGAAGCGCTCTGTGATGCCCCATGAAGTCCAGAAGTCCAAGTATACATATGAAAGTAAACAATGATTCCACAGTGTAATGGTTAAAGAGACTAAGCTATGAACCAGCATGTTGGCTTACCATTAAATCCCTAGGTGGTCTCATGAAAGCTAACCTCTTTCAGCAATCTATTACCAATTGCAATATGGGAAAATTAATTGGTAGTGGAAAGCTCAATGAAAATGTCAACCCAGTGAGCAGCTGCTATGAAAAAGGCAAATACCATGCTGGCTATAATTAGAACAGCAACAGAGAAGAAAACTGCTGCTATCATACTGCCCTTATACAAATCTATGGTGAGACCACACTTGCAATATTGTATACAGCTCTGGTCACCACACTTGAAAAAGGATATTGTAGAGCTTGAAAATGTGCAGAAAAGAACAACCAAAATTATCAGCCCTATGAGGACTGGTTAAAAACACTTAGGGTTGTTTAGCCTAGAAAAAAGACAAGTAAGGGGAGACATGATAGAAGTTTTAAACAAATCATGCATTGTGTGGAGAGTGTAAAAAGGGGGGGGATTATCTCCCATAATACTAGAACCCGGGGTCATCAACTGGAGCTCAAGAGCAGGAGATTCAGGACAAACAAAAAGAAGTATTTCTTCACACAGTGCACAGTTAATTTGTGGAACTAGCTGCCACAGGATGTGATCAGGACCACTAACTTGAAAGGCTTTAAAAGGGGAGTAGACAAATTCATGGAGGACTGGACTATCAATGGCTACTAATCATGATGGATATCTACTCAAGTACCAGAAGTAGTATGCCTGTTTAAATATGTTGCTGAGGAGCATTGGTAGGTTGAGGTTGTTGCAGTCTTCTTTAGAGGTAGCTGGTTGGCAACTGTGTGAACAGCATGGTGGACTAGGTGGGCCTTTGTTTTGATCCAGCATGGCTCTTATGTTCTTAACAGTGAACTTACAGAGCCATCGGCAGAATCAAAGGATAAAGCTTTTCCTGAGCTGCACTTTCTGACGGAAGAAAGTAGTTGCTGTGCTGAGAGAATGCTCTGTCCCATTAAAAAAACTGTAACGCCTTACAGATAAAAACCAGTTCTTCTGGGAGAAGGCAAGGTGGAACTCTTCTCTCTGACATGCTATTTTTCTAGATGCAGAAGAGTTTTTAAATGGGGAGGGGGGTTAGTAAGTCCTAGTCCAACTACCCCTAAATAGTATGGTACAATTCAGGAAAAACTTTGCCATGATTCTCATGATTGTCCCAGCTCATGAGAAGTACATCTTGAAAGTGTTATACAAAATGCTAAGTTGTATCATTATTGAAGGAGCCAAAGTTGGTCAACTTCACAGGCGGTTTGATGGCAGTAACTCTACATTTTTGTTAGGCCAACAAAATAAAATGTTAATGAGCAGAAATCTGAATTAATTAAACCAGGAAAAATTATTTGTGTAAGTATCACTCTACCTGATGCAGGTGTTGAGCTAATGCTAAAAAGGCTACTTGGTAGCAATTCAAGAGCCAAGTTATGCCTGAGAGATCGCCTTTTCTTGCTAGAGAAACCTTGACAGGAATCAGCGGGGCATTTACGCTTTACACTTGGAGTAACAATCATTGGGGTCACTGATGAAAATACTGTAAAGAAAGTAACAGCTGTCAAAGCCTTAAAATGGTAAACAATGTCAAAGCCATGACAGTCACACAGTTGAAACAGTCTTATATTTGCAGCAGTAGTTAAAGCAGGTCTGGCACTCCTTATTTTCATATATGAAAACTGGGCATGTGAGAGAGGTTAAGTAGCAAAGATTTGTATAGTTGCCTGCAGTTAGTGATATGAGTATCCATGAGAAAGATTAAGAAAACAAACCAACTTTGTCACAGTTAGAGACACAAAACTGGAAATTTTGGATCAACTGAGAAACTGCTCTGAGAAATCCATCTTCTCAAAAGGAAGTGAAACAACTAGCTAGTCATTCAGGCTTTATTCTGAATATCTGTCAAAAGTAGATAACTGAGGGCTCACAACCTGTGACAGTGGACAGGGGAGAAATAGAAAAAAAGAGTCAAATCTGAATTCCTTGACAAACCCCCCCCAAACCCACCCCTTTGAGAAGTGCTGCATTTGAACCACAGACTTTCAATTTAACTTTGGTTAGTACAAATTGGTTACAGGGGCTTGGAACCTTTTGCTGGAGACATACAACTCTTTCTGTATCTCAGCATATAGACAGGGAGTCCAGCGTATTTCTGCAACTACCTTAGAAAGTTTTACAGGGGGATGAATCCTATCGATCCATTTTGCAGAGCATTCTGAGTCTGCAGAAAGAATTGCTATCTAACCCATGGTGTCTGTCTCCATCAACAATATTTTGGTATACATTATACTCCATTACCAAATTACTTGTCTAAACACATTGTTTTCCCTGCTGTCACATTATCAACATTGGTTTTCTGCTGCATGGGAGGAAAACTGCTCTACAGACTGTTAATCCCAAAAGTTATAACTAGATTTAGTATTAGCAGTCAATATCTGAACATTTCTGTGTTCGCTAGATCTCCTTCTTCAGTGCCTTTTTTAAACAGAAAAACTTAACCTCTGCCTATAGATGACTAAATATGTATTTTTGGAAACCAAAGGAAAGAGTTTTGCAAGCTTATTTGGGGAAAGAGCAATGTTTCCAAATAAGTATATACTCAAGCACATAAAGCTACAGTAGTTGCACCAACACTTTAGTATGCAGCAAACAAATGCAGCCCACATTCCATTTACAGAACTCTTCAGTTAACTACTACAAATGCAACAGAAAATGTAAGGATAAATCTAAGCAAGTCAATATTACGGACTTGCTTGTAGAGAAATCTGCCAGTCACTCATTAAGGGCTTCATGCAAATGCACTATACCTACCACTGCCGTCTCTTTGAGGTGTGGTACAGGGTGTTCTATTAGGTTTAAGTTTATTCAGAGCCCCACTAACAATATCTGAAATTGAAGACACACCACGTAATCAAGTTTTCACACAGCAAACTGACACCATGATTTCTTTCTCAGTAGAGCATTACTTTCAATGGGTTAAACCCAAAGGTTGGCTTATAGACTTGTGTCACTGGAACAGAACATTACTGCTTCTTCCCTCCTTCTGCAGTCCACTGAGCTACCTGTCAAGAAGACCCTCAGGAACAGCACAAGAGATAAAATCATCCCCATCTTCTGCTGATGGAAACTGACCTTGGATCCAATCCTGTATCTCCAAGTCAATTAAAGTATTGCTGATCAGAACAACCCTTAGAAAATGTTGGTATGAAGTTCCAAGTTTTGCTTTTGATTCCCACAAGACATGCAAGGATTATACAACCACATCTGTGTCAATCCAAGGTTTTATTTCTGCTTCAGCATATAATAAGGGACATGACAGTATGTAGCACTTCACTAAAACTTAACCATTTCAAATATTCAGTTGAGACCTATGGATCTTGACAAAGGCTGTGGTAATGCTGTGCTTCAAGAAACCTTTTGTTGATTCCTGTAGAAGTGGAAAACTCAGTACAGTTTTATTCCTTCTACCATCCCTACCTTGTCTGGCAAGGTTGGAGAGCAGATGCGCTTGGATATAAGCCAAGAATTTTCAAGCATGAGAGGGGAGTGTGGGCAACCTTTGCAGATCCTCCCCTCTCATGGCAGTTTAAAAAGCCCAAAGTGCTGTTCCTGGGGAATCCCTAGGAATAACTTGGGGGGGGGGGCATTTCCCTGACTTTCCCTGACCAACATTTGTCAATTTCCCTGACCACCATTCAAATATAACCACAAGTTAAAAAATGAAAAGGCCAATGCTCCCTCTAAGCTGTGGAGTCCTGTGAGCAAAAATTCTACTTTGTGAGCTGCTGGCAATCAGGTTTGTAAGCAGGTAATTTGGCTACTGCAGAAATTAGTTTCCCCCGGAGCCATCCTTCCTGGGCTAAGACAAGAATGTGTGATCCGGAGGCTAAAAAACTGTGAGCTAGCTCACACTAACTCAGCTTAGAGGGACACTGGTTGTATTGCATTAATGCAAGGTAAGGTTCCACTCTACAACTACACAAGTCTCAACTGCAAAAATATTTGTCAAAGAGATTTAATTTGTCAAAGAAATTTAATCTTTCAACATTAACTGCAGCAACATCTGTTCTGCAATTGCACCAAAAATCACACCCAAGATACAAATTTCAATTCAAGTAAACTCTGAATGCTAACAAATGACATAACATTTTTGTGACACAAATGAGAGGGGAGTGTGGGCAACCTTTGCAGATCCTCCCCTCTCATGGCAGTTTAAAAAGGCCAAAGTGCTGTTCCTGGGGAATCCCTAGGAATAACTTGGGGGGGGCATTTCCCTGACTTTCCCTGACCAACATTTGTCAATTTCCCTGACCACCATTCAAATATAGCTGCGTAAATTAGTTTGCTCCGGAGCCCTCCTTCCTGGGCTAAGACAAGAATGTGTGAGCCGGAGGCTAAAAAACTGTGAGCTAGCTAACTCAGCTTAGAGGGGACACTGGTCGTATTGCATTAATGCAAGGTAAGGTTCCACTCTACAACTACACAAGTCTCAACTGCAAAAATATTTATCAAAGAGATTTAATATCAGCTTCTTTCAACATTAACTGCAACAACATCTGTTTTGCAATTGCACCAAAAATTACACCAAGATACAAATTTCAATTCAAGTAAACTCTGAATGCTAACAAATGACATAACATTTTTGTTATTGTTTTAAAGGTACACTAAAAACTGGTTGGGAAAGGGCATCATTGAGTTCTACTTGTATTCTGCTACTTCTCTATTCCAGTTGCCACAAGAACAGATCATGCTCTTGCTGCAGCAGGTCAAAAATCGACTGCTTGAATATATTTTAATCACAATTACCCTGACTTTCCCTGACTTCAGACCAATTTCCCTGACTTTCCAGAAAGTGGCAACCCTGACCTAGAATGATTAACAATTTACTGTATTTTAAGAGAATTTAATTGTTTAATCAGTGTTAGTTACTAGGGATGGGCATGAACTACGTGATGAGCCAAAATTTGGGCCAAATTCTGGCCAGATCAAGGCTCGAGAGGCAACGTTCAGCACGCACGTGCTCTCAGAAGAAATCTCCAAGCTTGGGGCTGTTTAGAAAATGAAACCCACCCAGAAACCCTGGTGTGAAAATGCTAGACAACAGTGGGGGCGGTGTTTTCCAGCCTCAGAAACACAAATAGGGACTTGTCCAAAGCTTGACAGGCAGAGTTCCCATTTGTCGCAATGGACTCAGAGCTATATAAGTGTAGGCCAAATGCATGTTTCCTTTTTTGGCATTGTGGTTTTGGACAGAGAGGATGTACTCGCGAAAGAGCTTTGTTGCTGGGCGTGGTGGAGGGATTGCTTAGCTAGCTGACTTAGTCAGGGGCCAGGGGGCTTTGCTTTGCCCTGGGTTCCTCTGTGTTGTGATCGGGTTTTTGCTTGCTTGTTTGCTTGTTGCAAAGGGTGGAAAAATCAGGACTGAAATCCTATTTCACATAACATGTTTGTTTAGCAGGATTTCCCTGCTGTCTCCTTCCCTGGTGGATTCCCTTCCTTTTTCTTTTCATTTTATTTCACCCCCACCACACACAGAGACACTTTTGGATTGCATTAGGACAAGGGATTGCTCTTTGGGGGGTTTTTTAGGTTGCTTTTGGGAGGGGGGTTTCAACCTAGTTCTCTGCCATTTTAACCTGCCCCCCAAACACTGGGCTGCTTTTTGTTTTGGGGTGATATGTGTTTGTCTTTACTGCCCATTCACTTGACTTTTCTGCCCTTTGCTCTCCATTTGAACCCCCCCTGCTTCTCTGGGGGGGTGATCTGTGTTTGTCAGCCTGCCTCCCTGCACCCTTGGGGGGACCTGTTCCAGTCTCAGGAAGTAACTTGGGGTGATTTTAGTGCCCGTCTCTCCACATCTAGTTTGAAACCTACCCCCAACTGACCTGCTTCTCCTCTGGGGGGACCATCAATCTGTGCCTGTCTGCCTGCTGTCCTGCCTGCATGTCTCCCTCTCTGGCAAATGACCCACTTGATCAACTGTACTGGGCTGGAGTTCAAATGGGTGCTTGCTTGGTCAGGTATTTGGCACTATGAGAGGGGGTAGAATGGACCAGTGGATACTTACCGTGAGGGATCCTTCTCCTCTGAGATAAGGAGGACATCTTGATGGGTATTTCCCACCCTATCTGTAGGGAGGCAGGAACCAATAATCTTCAACTTCCTGTCCTCTTGGTGGGGAACGCTCATCTCCTCAGTTCTGGAACTCACAGAAGCAGTAATAACAACAATAACATTGAACCATATAGCAACAAGGCCATAACTGGTTAACTACTGAGGGACAAAAAAGAATAGAAGACAGGAAGGAAGCAAACAAGTATGAAAGAACATCAGGTAATGAGCAGCAGGATAAGACTGACAATGACTCGGGAGGGCGAAGATGTTCTCCTTATCTCAGAGGAGAAGGACCCCTCACAGTAAGTATCCACTGGTCCATTCTCCCTCTGAGAGGAGGACATCTTGATGGGACCTCCCATAGCAGTGTCCTCATCTGTTGGGTGGGTCATGGTCATAGTTAGAAAAGACGTGCTGTAGAACTCTGTGTCCGAAGGCTGCGTCTGCCGAGTCATACAGGTTCATCTTGTAGTGCTTAACAAATGTGGAAGGAGACGACCATGTGGCAGCTTTGCAGATTTCCTCTACCGATGATCGGTTGGACAAGGCAGCGTTCGTGGCTGCACTCCGAATGGAATGGGCAGTGATGCCCAGAGCAGGAACTAGCTGCTGGGCCTTGTACACTTCCGTGATGCACGCCTTCAATGTGGAACTGATTGAAGCCTTGGACATCTTGCACCCTTTATTTGGTGGGGAGACAGAGATGAAGAGGGATTCCGATTTTCAGAAATTGCTAGTACGCAAGAGGAATATCTTTATGGCCCGTCTCACGTCCAGTGAGTGCCAAGACCTCTCTTTGGGATGTTGCAGGTTAGGGCAGAAGGAAGGTAGTGAAATCTTTTGAGACGTGTGGAAACGAGAATTCACCTTAGGACGGAAGGTGGGATCAGTGAATAGCACCACTTTGTCCTTGTGGAATACGCAGAATTTTGGATTAGCAGAAAGTGCTTCCAGCTCCGATACTCTTCTGGCCGATGTCACCGCCACCAGGAAGAGGGTCTTCATTCTGAGCCACTTCAGAGAGATCTCTTTGATGGGTTCGAACGGTGGTGCCGTCAAGGCATTGAGAACCACATTCAGCCTCCATGATGGAAACCTGTGAGATGTAGGGGGATCTTGAAGTGATGCACGCTTTAGGAATCGACGCACATGAGGATGAGCCGAAACTGTGAACCCTCAAAAGGTGGGTAGGACTGTTGCCAATGCGTCTGTTTGACACCGAAGGGTAGATGCCTTCAGCCCAGAGTCATGTCCATCCTGTAGGAAGTCAAGGATGGATCTCAAACATGGCTTTAGTGGGTCTACATGTTTCCTTCTGGACCATCAAACAAACGCCTTCCAAGTAACACTGTCAATTTGTCAAGTGGAAGGTCTCCTGGAAGCCCACATGGTATCCGTTACTTTTTTGGAGAAACCTAGTTTGTGGAGTTTTTCCCGCTCAATAGCCAAGCGGTCAATCAGAGCCATCCCAGGTCTGGATGCCAGATGGGACCTTGACTCAGCAGATCCGATGATACCAGTAGTGTAAGAGGAGGACGAAGAGCGAGGTTCTTCAGTTTGGAGAACCATGGTCTCCTGGGCCAATATGGGGCCACCAGAATTATCTCCGCTTTCTCTTCCCTGATCTTTCTGAGAAGTCTTGGTAACATCGGCATAGGTGGGTAGGCGTACATGTGTCCGGAGGGCCAAGTACAGGTTAGGGCATCCGTCGCCTCCGCCCTGTGGTGATGATATTTGGTGAAGAACCTTGGTGTCTTGTAATTGGTTGGGGAGGCAAAAAGGTCCACTACTGGGCAACCGAAGTGATTCACTATCAGATCAAACAATTCTGTCTTCAGGGACCATTCCCCTTCCTGCAGTTGCCGCCTGCTGAGCGAATCCGCACAAGTATTGAGGGAGCCCTTTATGTGTTTCGCTCTGATGGAAGTCATGTTGCGTTCTGCCCACGTTAGGATCTTGCAGGCCTCCCTGTGAAGGGGTGAAGACTTGTAGTCCCTTGTTTATGTATCCTTTTGCAGCAACATTGTCTGTCCTGATGTGGACGTGACGGCCGAAAATCTGGGAGCTGAATTGAAGAAGGGCCAGTCGAATAAGTTGATGGGAAGCCTGGTTTCTTCTCTGCACCATATTCCCTGAGCCGGAGAGTTCAGGTATACTGCACCCCAGCCTTGGAGGTTGGCGTCTGTGACTATCTGTTCGCATTCTTTCACATAGTACACACGCCCCTGTAGCAGGTTTCTTGCCTTGGACCACCAGGTCAGGCTCAGTTTGACTTGGTGTGCAACTGTGACAATAGGATCTTCCTTTGCCATAATCCTGAACTGGTATGGCCGAAGAAACTGTTGTAGAGGTCTCACGTGCATACGTGCCCATTGGACCGAATCGAGGCAGGCAATGAACAGTCCCATCAGTTTGGCGTCATAAGTGACGATCGTCTGGCTCTGATGATCTGCCGAGACAGAGTGCAGATCTTTTCTGCCTTGGGCTTTGGAAGAAACATCTGGTTCTGAGCCGTATTCAGAATTACTCCCAAATGCTCTATGGACTGAGATGGTAAAAGGTTTACAAGGAAACCGTGGGCACGGAGACACTGAATGGTGGTTTCGGTGTCCCTCCTGGATGTGGCTGCCAAGCCGGGCACGGAGACACTGAATGGTGGTTTCGGTATCCCTCCTGGATGTGGCTGCCAAGCCAGATCTTATCAACAGATTGTCGAGATATGGATGCATGTGGATGCCCTGCTCTCAAAGTAACACAACGAGGTGTATAAGGATCTTGGAGAACACTCGAGGGGCAGTAGACAGGCTGAATGGGAGTGCTCTGAACTGCCAATGTTGATCCTGGACACAGAAACGGAGGAACTGTTTGTGACCCTGACATATGGGAACATGCAGATACGCCTCCGTCAGGTCGATGGAGGTTAGAAACTCTCCGGGGTGAAGAGCCTCTGTGATGGATTTTAGGGTCTCCATCCAGAAGTGGCAAAGTTTTACAAATCTTTTTAAAAACCTCAGGTCCAAGATCGCTCTCCAGCTGCTGTTCCTTTTGGGGACCGTGAAAAATACTGAGTAGACGCCTCACCGCCACCTCTCTAGGGCAGGGACTGGTTTTATGGCCTGAACTGAGAGAAGGTGCTGAATGGCGTCTAGAGTGCAATGAAGCTTGAGTCAGTTCTCCGCTACTGGTGAGGGAACAAATTGGCTTGGGGGTCTAGACCTCCTGAGACCAATGATCTGCGTTGGATTGGATCCAGGTTTGATGAAACAGTCGTCCCCCCCACCGGTGCTGACCAGCAGTCACGCCTTGGAGGGCTTGTTGTCTCTTCCGGCCTTATCGTCTCTGTTGAAGAAGGATCTGTCCTGTCTGTTGTGGAAGGCATTCCTTCAAAAATTTCGTCTATTTGCTCTCCAAGACTGTCGTCTGAAGTCTCTGTTAAGTCTTGGGAGGGTGGGGGGTGTCTTTGGGAACGAAAGGAAGAGTTGCCAGAAGAGTCTGCCTAGGGATCTAGGCATTGCCTTTTTCTTGTCCCTGGTTTCTATGAGTATTTTGTCCAGGGATTCCCCGAACAAGCGATCCCCTTGGAAGGGGTAAGCTGTGACTATGTTCTTGGTGTGAAGGTCTGCCTGCCAAGCTCGCAGCCAGAGCATTCTCCTCGCCGCCACTGTGGATACTAGAGCTCTAGAGGAAAAAATCATAGAATCCAAAGTAGCATCTGCAGAAAAACATGATGCTTTAAGCAGTCTGTTAGTGCCTTCTGCCAAATGCTTGATAGATTCAGGAATGAGTTGAACCATTTTCCTGGACCAGGCAATTGCCACCCTTGCCACCGTAGTGACTGTGGCTGATGCTCTAATGGCCATGGTAGTGGCCTCATGTGCCTTTCTCTGTGCAAACTCTGCCTTCTTTTCTAGGCTGTCCTTAACAGAGCGTCCCTGTCTTCAGAAAGCAGGCCAACAGTCTGAATTGTTGTTACAGGAGCATCCACTAGGGGGACCTGTAGAAACTTATTGGCAAAAGATGGTAAGGCATATAACTTTTTAATATTAGGAGGACAATGCCTATTAGCCATAGGTTTAGCCCATTCATTTTTTAGTTGCTTTTCCAGAAATTCAGGAAAAGGAAAAACTTTTTCTATCCCAGGTGTTCTGGGGAAATAATCCTTGCACCTCCTAGATCTGGAGTCGTCAGAAGGATTGGAGCTGCTAAGGGCCTCTGCAGGAACTTTAGGTTGCAATTCTAAGGCAGTAAAGGTCTTTTGAAGAAGATATGGATAATCTTTTGGTTGAAAAAACCTCATAGAAGGTGTGGGGACTTCTAGTTCTTCCTCCATCTCTTCATCCGATAAGAATTCCCCCTCCTCCCTATCCTCAATTACACTGTCCTCATCTTGTAATGGATCCCAATGAGAATTATTTCCCTTATGGGTGCAATGCTCCTTCCTGGCAGCCTTGGTTGGCCAGGATCTATGTTGCTCAGGTATGGGTCTATCTTCTAATTCCTCACACCCGCAACCTCTATGGGAATGGCCAGGAGATTGGGAACCACCCTCAAGCAGGCGTGGATGACAGATACCGACTACTTCATCTCTAATAGTCTGTCTTAAGAACTGCATAAGTTCAGCAGATATGGAACTTCCCCGTTGATTGGCTTGTAAGTCTGTCGCTCCTGCAGTCCCAGACGTCATGATCTGGGCGTTAGGGAACTCCTGCCCGTCGTCGGCACTCATGCCCTGGCTTATGGAAACGGACGTAGCCGCCCCGCAGCCTTCCCCCCCCCTCTCTCCAAGAGCCTCCAAAAATCCAAGATGACTCCTGCGGTTCCCGGCACAGACGGAGAATGAGGCCGTTTCTTCGCGCACTTTTCCTTTGGCATGGCTTTGGCCTTTAAGGAGGCAGATTTCATCGCACCCGTTTTCTTTGGCACGGTAGCCGCGCCCTCCGCAACAAAAGAGGCTTCTCTCTCTCCTTCAGAGAGGAAATCATCGGAGCCCACATGGTCAGCCATTCTCGTTCTCTCTCCAGCCGGAGGGACGAGGTTGGGGGGGGGGAATGAACAGATATAGCTGGGGGGTGAGTTAAAGGACCCAGGAGAGGGGAAAATGAATAGAAGATGCAGAGGAAATACCGTAGTTGAGAAGAAAAAAGAGCTATTAAGCAGAAACAGAAGTGAAAGTGGGCATAAGCCTAACTTTGTGCTGCTCTCCCTACTGAGGCAGGAACAGAACTAAGGAGATGGGCATTCCCCACCAAGAGGACAGGAAGTTGAAGATTATTGGTTCCTGCCTCCCTACAGATAGGGTGGGAAACACCCATTAGAGAGAGAAGGGGTCGTGGTCGCGGGAGGATGCCATCCCTTTTCCCTGTGCCAAGTGGTCATGGACAAGTGCAGCCTCCCCCTCCCACAGTGGAGGAAGCCACTGGCACATCTCTGGGGGTCTCAGCACACATTTCCCCTGCTCCATCCATGTCCACGGGGCTCTCAACTGCTGCTTGAGAGTTTTCGGCGTTGCCGCCTAAGCTGCAGCATGAAACTATGTTTGGAAGTGAGGATAGTGATGGCAAACACTTGGAGGGTGGTGGTGGTGGTGGATGCATCCTCCTCTTCCACCTCCCAAGATTCCCAACTCCCTGCTTCTCCTGCTTGTATTGGTACACCCTCCCACCTGCTCCAACCATGGGCGTGGAGACATAGTTCCACTCCTCTGCATGGAAATACTTCCGCAGCCTGGGGAGTGAAGAAGAAGAGTCGGATTTATATCCCGCCCTTCACTTAGAGTCTCAGAGCAGCTTACAATCAACCTGTGAGGTAGGTGGGGCTGAGAGAGCTCTGAGAGAACAGCTCTGAGAGAACTGTAACTGACTCAAGGTAACCCAGCTGGCTTCATGTGGAGGAGTGGGGAATCAAACCTGGTTCTCCAAATTAGCATCTGGTGCTGTTAACCACTACACCAAACTGCCCCATGTGTGGAGTGCCAGTTGTGCTGGGCCTGTTTCTGGAAGGGCCAGTGGGACCCTAACTATATTATCAAAATTTTCAATCCAAATCAATACTATTTTTTGTATTCACATTGGTTAGATATGGACATAGCACTCTAAAATAAATCCATACAGATAACATATTACACTTGATAAAGAGAGGATAATAGTTGCATTTCTCATGACCTATAGCTAACTACTTATATTGCATTAGAAGCCTGATAAAAGACCAAAAATCTGAGGACATCAACCTTACCAAGGTACATTCAATCACCAAGTTCAGGATTAGTTTGAAAATGTCCTGTTTTCAAAAGGCAGAATGATCATTGGTCGAGGTTTGCTTACAGAGAAACAAAACTATTTGGATGATTTGTCTTGGCCAACTACCTCTAATTCTGGGGATGACACCAAGCTATTATCCCCCAGACAACCCTATAACCATAAGACAACAATCCTATGCCCCAATGAGCACGGTCATAGTGGGGCTTACTTTCAAGTAAACATTCATAAGACTGCATTGTTAATATGTGACTGTAAGTTTAGTTCACCAACCCATTTCAAAGAGACAAAACACATACAAGAAACGTATTAGAACCAAACAATCTTATTACTAATGAGCCACTGTGCAGTTCTATCATACAACAGCAAAATGATTAAACAAAAAAGTTTAAATTTGAACAAGTAATTTTAGATGGGCACTCTGCCTACCTCCTATGCTCCGTCTTCTCCTTCTCTTGTGTTCTCCAGGAGTTTCGCCTTCACTTTCCTCATAATCTTGCAATGAAGGAGTTGAGGCCGAATCATCAATGCCAAGCATAGCAGGTATCTTTTCCAGGATAAACTTTGGTATGTGTCCTGAATTAGGGAACAGTTAATATGTGTGTTATAGAAAAAATAACATGAATACATAAAGCTTCAGATTGCATTGACAAATGTCACATTACCTATTTCTTCTGCATGGTCAATAAGAGTCTGGACGACTGCTGCCTGCGATCGAAGTTTTCTGTCTGTGTGAGCTGACATTTTGTCAGCATCACTTGATTGCAAGAGATTTGGAGCAAAAATTAACGCCAAGTTACTGCTGTCCATTTTGTTTTCAGAAGATCTAAAATTACAAATAAGTAACTTCAGAAGTTTCACACTTGTAATCTGCAATCTCAGTTGAAAGTGTTATATAAATAATGGTGCATTTTCTATCGACTTGAGGCCTGATCAGCAACATTACACTTTCCCCTCTCATTTTACAGGTTAACTAAGAACACAATAACAGACTGTTCTTTTTGCATCTAGCTTTTAAAGAAATACGGTTTTCTCCAGGTCACCAACAACTTCAACAAGGAGTAAAATGAAAAATTAAAATAAGATCCCTGCAAAGAAACAGACACCCAGGCCAAAATTCCTGAAGAGAACAAGGGATTATAATTGGTGCAGCTGGAGCATCACCATGCTCACCTTCCCAACAGCCAAAGACTTCAGGCAAGCAAATAAAAACCTATGCCTGCCTTCTCGTGTGAAAAGACAGAGCTTCACATGCAAAAGTCATAATATGACCACAATTTATTTGTTTGAAAAAAGGGAGATAACATAAATTTTATAACAAAATGTTATAATGGTATCAAATGTTTCTGCTGAACATTTGTCTGATGAAATTTCTTCTAAGAATTTCAAAATAGCTCTATTAGTATTGTTTAAGAATGAGCTGAAGCAGTTTGATAAATTAAGAAGTTGTAACAACTATTATATTTTATTTTCCTTTTCTACAGGTGAGTTGAGAGAAGCAGGGAAATATCTTGATTTAAGCTTTAACTATAGTTCTTGAAACATTTTCAAATATATTTCTTTACACTGTTCATAAATTTGCCTCATTGTGCATTCCTATGCTTACAAACCTTGAGATAAAGGATTTTAGTATACATTTCAAACAATTTAAAAACTGCAATCGCTCATTTGACACATACCTTTTTTCTAGTGGCCTCTGTTAAAGCATTAAATTTTACACTAACTTTGAAAAGGCATAAAAATGTTGTCAGAAGCTAACCTCAGTGTGTCTGCTGAAATGCTGCACTCACCCCGTGCAAAGGGTGAACTGTGGAAGAGGTTTGGGCATGAGAAAGACTCACCTGGCCCAAGATACTCAGGAATGAAAATAAATGGAAGAGAGGACAGCATGTTTATTTTTCCCTCTAATTTTTGTTGTGTAAAAGTGGAAGAGGGAGGTGACTTCACTTAACTCTCACTCCTCCCTTGTAGCCTTTGGACACATAGGTTTCCATCCTCTAACTCCTGGCATCATCTTTCCTGAAGTCACAAAGGACTGCAGGGGGAAAAGGAATGCAGGTGAAATCATTATATCATGTTTGCAGTCAGTTGGATACCGTATCCTCTGCTTACCTCAGGGACACTTTTTTGAGAAAACTGAAAAAATATTTCAGAGTATCAACTGTTCTGTCATTCATAAGGCAAGAAAGCAGCAGAGTGGCAGAGTTCTTCTCCTCGTTGCCTAGCTGCTGGGCCTTGATGAGAGCTTCCTGGAGATCACTTGGGAGAATGGGCTCAGGCAATTCCCTAAAGAACTGTTTGAGAAGTCCTGCAACATCACAGGGCTGGGCCGTGGACAGGCAGTTTTCACCTTGATCAAGTTTATTCTGGGGGAAAAAGGTACAGCCACTGTAAACCAAAGCCGTATAAATGAAACACAAAATTTTAGAAAAATGATATGCTTTGAGACAAAGCTTTGTAAAATTCTGAAGGAAGATCACATCTGTTAAGATATTTGAAGGAACATCTCAATAGGCTATATTAACTGTGAAGGCTTTTAATCACACAATAAAAAAATTATCTGGAAAGAAGGAAAAAAGCAGTACCTTCAATGCTTTTAAACGAACAAACGATCCAGATTTTCTGAAGAGTCCTTCTGTATGAATGTGTTCTTCTAAGTATTTACAAGCTTCAACTAAAAAGCTGAACAAAGTGTTTGGCATTCAGAATTCAATTATTGCATAAAACTGTTATATTCAAACTGATAATTCACACTATTATATTTTCTAGTGAGCAGTCGCTACCCAATGCATTCTGAAAAACCAAGGCTACGTTTGAAAAATCCCACTATGTCCACAACGTCTTCCCCAATCAACACTTCCACTGTGTTACACAATTTCAGCAGCAGTTTTATTTTACATTGCACTACAAGGCATGAGCACCATATCCCAAATCCTGATCAGTAGGCTTGCAATCTCCTTTTTCCTATTAAGATGCTCAAGATGAACAAGAACCTCAGGAACCTTAATTTGACAATCATTTTACAGGGAGAGGGAGCGGCATTGGCATTCTCCTCAGATAATCAGCATATTTCTGCTGACTATAAAGTTATGTTTTTCTGCAGGAACAAACCGTATGATTTAAAATTAAAGATAACATCACTGCAAAGATTCTACACACAACTTTAAGTTAAAATATTACAGGTATTACTTACCAAGGTATATTTCCATATTCAGGGACAACCTGTTGAGGTAATTCGAGAAGAGGTATTCCAAAGACTTTGCTCTGAGAAATAACACAACATTTAAATAGTTCACTGAAAAAACAATGTTTTCAATCAATAGTATAACAAGGAAACAGTACGAAAGCTACCTATTAATCAATAACGAACACTTTTAATTTATGTTAAAGATTCTAAAAATGTGGACCAGTCATAAAATCCTAATGGCAATTTACAAATCCCTAACTTGCTGTTGGACGCTACCACTCTGCCAGGAAAAGACTCCTCATTTGTTGAAAGGAGTGGTAGGATTTAGAAATGTAAAAGTTTCAGTGGAAACTCTGAACCCATGTTGGGGAGCTCCCCCTACAAAAAAAGCAAAAATTTTGGAGAAAATTGAAATACAGGCAATAGTTACTCACCTATCAAACCAAAATTCCCTGAGAATGAACCTTTTCTCCATCGTGGCACCAAGACTTTGGAGCTCCCTCCCCAGGGGATTCATCTGGCTTTATCGTTATCCTTCACCAGCAGGTTAAATCTTTTTTTTTTTCATCTGGCATACCACGAATTGCAGTTGTTGGCCCTCCTCCTAGTGTTGTGTATGTATTTCAATTGAATTTATAATTTTAACTATTATTAATTGTTTAAAGGTTTTAATGTTTCTCTTGTTTGCCACCTTGTGGGTGGAAGAAGGCATAAAATGTTTTAAACTTATAAACTACTTTCACTGATTTACCAACATAAAATGCAGCATATATACATAGCGTATAAAAATGGTGTTATTTGGCATATTTATATAATTTAAATAAAAAATGTTGCATACATCTACAGTATGAGAATGGGTTTTTGAGCACTCCTCCCAATTTTTCCTTTGTAAAAACTGAGAAAGTCCTCAGATTTTTATAAGACAAGGTTTTCTCACTCGTGAATATTTCAAAAGAGGTTTTTAAGGTTGCCCTTATTTCCCAACTTTTCTATTGGAAAAACTGAAGAAGTTTACATATTTTTTTATGCTATACCATTTTGAGTGTGAAAAATCTCACCTTAAGAAGCATTCCACTCATTCTAAAAGAAAAATAGCTGATAGGAGTCCCCCCAGTGCTTTCCAGATTTTTTTCAATTTTTTTTAACAGAATAATTGAAAAAAATGTTCTAGGAAGCTCTCCAAATCCAATCCAAAGTCTGTATGAAGTTGTACTGCTAGTGGATCTGAACTACAACCAAAATATAATATGAAATTCAGAAAGTGTTGAGGCTACAATAAGAAGCCATAAATTATCATATCTATTACGTGAACGTCTGTTATGTTTATCCCTAAGATTCTCAATTATTTGCATATAATTCTTTTTTACATTTTGGATGGAAAACTTCTGAATATTAACCTCCCAAGGATCTTTTGTCTTTAGACACTAACTGGCTTACTGTGATGCAAGTTTCACAAGAAACAGCTTGTGTCATCATAAAAAATGTGTTTATCTAACATCTGCAGGCTAGTCTTATCTAATCAGAGTAACCTAGTTACATGACCCTTGCTCAATCACTCAAGAATAAGTAACTGCATGCTCCATTATCTTTAGAACACAAATTGCACCTTTGTCCTAAAATTGTAGACAATGGCACTAGTACTGTAGCTCTATTTTGTCTGAAACTAAAGTTTTGGATTCTTAGGGTATCACTACACACTTATGAAAAATGTGAAAAACCACAAAAGATTCTTAATTGTAAGGATGTGTCTGTCGCTTGCAACCAAGATCAACTTAATGCATGCCATATTAATTCATGCCCCGAATACTACGTACGGGTGTAAACGTTGGGCAATCAAGAAAGTTGATTTATTTGAAATATGTTGGAGGAGAGTTTTATGGATACCATGAACTGCCAAAAAGAAAAATAAGTGAGTTCAAGATCAAGTCAAGCCTGAACTTTTCCTAGAAACTAAAATGACTAAACTGAGGCTATTGTACTTTGGTCACATTATGAGAAGACAAGAGTCACTGGAAAAGACAATAACGCTGTCCTCAACCAAAAGCACAGTGGAACATCTCTGCCTTGCACGCCCTGCAAAATTGCATAAGGTCCCGCAGGGCACGGATGTTATTTGGCGGAGAGTTCCATCTGGAACTCTGGTTGAGGACAGCTGGATGTCTTTCGGGATAGGGAACACCAGTAGATTGTTCTCAGAAGAGCATAAAGCTCTTCAGGGGACATACCAGATGAGGCAGTCACAAAGATATGTGGGTCCCAGACTGTTCAAGGCTTTAAAGGTCAATACCAAATCCTTGAACCTGACCCAGTACTCCACCGGGAGCCAATGCAACTGGCATAGCACAGGTTGAATATATGTGTGGTCCATGGTGTTCCCATCAGGACCCATACTGCTGCATTCTGGACCAGCTGGAGTTTCTGGATCAGTCTGAAAGGCAGGCCAGTGTAGACTGAGTTACAGTAATCTAGTCTGGAGGTGACCATTGCATGGATAACTGTGGCTAGGTCAGGGTGAGTCAAGAAAGGGGCCAGTTGCCTTGCTTGGTGCAGCTGGTAGAACGCCAGCTTGGCAATGTTTGTGATCTGGACCTCCATTGATAAGAAGGTGTCCAGGACCACGGCCAAACTCCTGATGGCTTGTGCTGGTATTAGACATGCACCATCAAGAGTGGAAAGTTGAGACCCCAAATACATCAGGGAGAGGATTGTCCCCTGAACAACTCCACATGTTAAGGGTAACCTAGTTGACACTCTCCCCCCAGCACTACCCTCTGTCCCCGACCTCAAAGGAATGAGGCAAGCCACTGTAAGATTACCCCACGAACTCCTATGTCAGCGAGGCAGTAGGTCAACAGATCATGGTTGACCATGCTGAACACTGCTGTAAGGTCTAACAAAAACAGCAGCGCCAACCCGCCTCAGTCCAGGCGCCTATGGAGATTATCTGTGAGGGCAACTAATGCCATCTCCACCCCATGGCCAGGGCGGAAACTGGATTAGAATGGGTCAAGTGTCAATGTGTCATCCAGGAAACGCTGGAGCTGCTTGGCTACCACTCTCTCAATTACCTTGCCCAGAAACGATAAATTCAAAACTGGGCAGTAATTGGCAGGATCTAAAGAATCCAGAGATGGCTCTTTCAAGAGCAGTATTACCACAGCCCCTTTCAAACCCTTTCCATTCTAATTGTTCTTGTACAACTGTAGTTGCTAGAGGCTACAACTGTAGTTGCTAGAGGCACAAAGATTAGACAACCTTCAACAGTTAGACAGTGAACGTTTCTCCTCGCGGGTGATGAGAGACATGTTTCATAACTTCGTTTGGTGATCACTGTCTAATTTGCACCTGTCCTAAAATTGTTCAAATCTTGTAAATGTGCTTTGAAACCCATACTACATATTTATCCACTGCTTTTGGAAACCATTTTAAAACTAAGATTTTAGCTTCTGGGTCAGCATAACCATATGATACTCCTCATGCTTAATCTGTTGTAGGAAATATGGTACAAAGGCATTAATGTAAAGATTAAGTCTCAGGAAAGTCAATTCAACACATGGGTTGAATCCAAACTAAGTTTTCCACTAATGGAAGGCACTTTTGTCAGCAGAACAAAGCTTTCCTGCCTCTCCCCTTCTTACTGCAGTTCACTGATCTTCCTGAAATGCTGTTCCTGTAGGACAGGGTAGCCACAAACACAGCAGAGTCCTCTGAAAAAGGTGGAGCTGGCACAAATTACAGCTCTCACTCCATTGATATAAAATTTAGTCTGGATCTAACTCATTACATTCATATGTGTGTGCTACTATTAAGCTTCTGTGCTAAGAACTGTGTTTTGAGCTTCACATTTCCCACTGCTGACCTCTGCTGAGTACCACTCAACCATGTTTGTTTTACTGAATGAAACACACACAAAAGGCAAACATTTGTACAGTTTACACCCTAAACTTTAGAGCTGAAAGGAAACTACACCTTAACATGGGGCTGTGCTACCATGTGTAACCTGTAGACAAACCAGGGTGACAGATGCACCAAAGAAATTAGACAAACCAGGGTGACAGATGCACCAAAGAAATTAATACAATCTAAACATCTGCTTTTTATTTTTTCCAGTAGATAGGAAGGAACAGGCATCATCTTCTGCCAGGAACATAAGGGGAGGTGATGAGCATGACCGCTTAACATAATGAGGGAAATCAGTTGCTTCTTTCTGTTTGTACAAAAGGTCTTTTCATGCTCATCTGAAGTGCATTTTCATCTTCTCTGGCCAGAGATACAAGGCTCACATCTACTGCTGCACCTGGGGCATAACTGTCCTTTTTCAAACTCATGCAAGGCAAGGTTATCCTCAACTGAGTCTTACACACTGAGGCTCAAACCAGATCTTGTTTTTCGGACACACACACACCCCAGACACCAGTCAATCTTCGTCTGTGACCTTCATTTTGTTTGCATCCTGTGCACTCTTACTTGGGCAAAAGCCCTCACCGGCTTCTCAGTACAGGGGATTAGGTGCACTCCCAGAATACCCGACACACACCCAGCGTTGATAGTTTTCTGATCAATACCCTTGGCCCAGTTCTTTCCATTCACGTGTCTGATACATGGTATCGCTCCCTTCCTCCAAGGAGCTCAGAACAGCTACCCTCTTCTAGTTTATGCTCACAACCACCCTGCACCAAAGGTCGCCTTGCGAGCTTCATAGCCGAGTAAGAATTTGAACCAGGGTCTGCTTGGTCCTAGCCAAAACACTCTGGCCACTACACGGCATTGGCTCCTGACACCCCAAAAGGAAGAGGACACAAAGGTCGGCGGGAACTTCTTGATATGCGGCTGCCCAGCTCTCACTCGCCACCTTCTCTGGCCGCGGCCGATTCTCCCCACAAGCCCATCTTAGAGCCCAACCTACTTTGACTGAACTACATGGCGTGGGAGCGTGTCGCAGCTTATCGCCGACTCACCTCTTCGGCCGCGGAAGCTGCCGATGTCGGCGGCTTTCTCTTCGCCGCCCGACTCTTCAGCTTGATCCCGTAGGCGGCTCGGAGTTGTTGCTGCACCGCCAGCAGGGCCAGGCCTCTCCCACGGTCCCCCGCAGTCGCCATCCCCAACAGCCGCCTTCACTGCTCAGTCGTCATCTTCAAACCCGACGACGGCTCCATCAGCAGCCTCCGACACCACACGACACCTCAAACTCCCCGCCTCCGGTTCCTCCTCTCTGATTGGCCCACTGCCCCATTCGAAATCTCAGGACCCCGCCGGCACCCAACGGCTGGCGAGCTGCTATGGTGCCTGAATGTTTTGGGCTGATGATCCTGCGCGCGGTGACAAAGGCTTAAAAAAATGAAGACGGGGGAGCAGCAACTCAGGGCGTATTTGCTCGTTAGCTGTGTCTTTCCAGATGGACACGGGACGGTTGATTGTAAATTCAGGCGTTCTCCAAAGACACCTAAACAACTCGTGCGCTTTATTTCTATGGTAAAACAAATACGGTGGCCAATAGAAATAGAGAAGCGGTCTTGGTCACATAGAATAGTGCGCTACGAATCCAAGAAGTGTGCTTTTCTGCAGAGTGTGAGGCTACGCGAGGAGGGTGCAAAACGTTCCCCCAGCTCCCTGGGCCCCGGGGTGGCGGCCTTGAACTCCTAGGCGCAAATTCCACCTCTCGCATGTGATGTTCCAGCGGTCGTTTTGGCTCCCCCAGCTCTCGTTAGGGGCTCTTTAAAAAGTTGGCCGGTGCTGCCGCTGGCGGGTGCGTCAACGACCGGGCTGGGAGGGTGCAAAACGTTTCCCCCGGCTCCCTGGGCCTCGGGGTGGCGGCCTTGAACTCCCGAGGGGCAAATTCCACCTCTCGTTAGTCTTTAAAGCACCACTAGACTCCTGGAGCTTTTTTCGGGGGCAGCATCTATATGCGGCTTCAATGTCTGAGGTTCAACGCCCGTCTGCCTCGTGCAGAGCCACAAGTGGGTTGTAGCCCGTGAACGCTTAGATCGGGATAAAATTGTTTTCGCTTTTACGGCGCGACAAAACTCCCCGAGTCCCTGACATTTTATAAACTGAGCCGGAGCAGGTGGGGGAAAGAGGGCGGCTCTTTATTTGATGACGTTAATGGAGGCGGGGAGATTGACGTCACTGCCAGGGGCTGGATTTTGGTGGAAATGTGCCTATAAGTAACACGTGTGGGTTGTGTGAGTGGTTTTTTTACCTGCTAACCCGGAATGCCATTCTTCGCTATAGGTTCTGTATCCAGCTCGACCGGGGTAGGGCAGGAACGGCAGCAGCCGTCGTTATTTTTCGGTGGGTTGGCGAACGTCAATGTGCAAACCGAGGGACCTGCGCACCCGAGCTGTTGGCTCCAACGGGCGCCAGCGATCTAAACCGGTGAGTGGTTTATGTTTGTTTGTGAGGGAGAGTGGTCGTTAGAACTTTCGGTCATCCGGGCTCGCGGCTGTCTTCTTCCCATTTCCCCCCCCCTCGAGCCTCGGCTTCTGCTGGGGAAGGCCGGCGGGAATTCGGCACTCCGTGTGCGCATGTCTGTGATTGATTGGTCCATCTTGCTCCGCCGCTGGAGGCCTGGATCCGAGTTCCCCTCTTGCTTGCTTGCTTGCTTTCTTCCCCCTCTCCCTGGTGGAGTTCGGTAGATTGTCGCCCCGCCGGCCATTCTCCGCTCGTGCTGGTGGGAGACGCACCGCGGTGCTAAAGAATCTGCTCCTGGGCTAGTAGTGCTCCAGGACTCTGCTCTTTTTCTGGAAAACCGCTGTCAGTAGCCAGTGTGAAAGGGCTAGTTGGGGTTACCTCCTTGTCTTTGTGGTGTGGGGGACAAAATGGCACTCTGCACCAGCTCAGAGGCAGGATTGTGAGAATTGCTGGAGAATGATGGGGGGGGGAGAGAGAAGTAGTCGCTTGTCTGACTAGCTCCAGAAACTGTAATCAGAGCCCTGATTAGTTCTTTGGGTAACCTTGGGCTACTTAAGCCCTTAACAGGTGAACTGACTTCAGTGGGTTGTTGTGAAGATAAACAGAGGGGAAACCATGTATATATAATTTTATGTATATAATTCACAACATAGGGATAAACAAAGGGGAAACCATGCTTCTTGGAAGAAAGGTGGGATCAATGTTCCTTTTGTTAGGGGAGGCAGTCCTTCTCCCCCCAGTGTGGTTAGGAGGCATTATCTGTTTCTGAATTTTTGCTCTACTTAGAGGATTGTGTCACATAACTTATGTTATCCTGTAACAACAGTCCTATAAGGTAAGTCAGTAGTGCAGGTGGACATTTGCTTGACGGTGAGAGTGTGGCTTCTCAGGTGAGTTAATTTAAAAAAATGTTCAGGTCACATATATTTTCTTGCTGGGTATCCCCAGGGTTCAGGGCCAGCACTTGTTTTAAATGCTTAGTTCTGAAATATTTGCAATAACAGTATGCGGTAACCAACGCTGTAAGCCGCCCTGAGCCTGCTCGTGGGGTATAAATCAAAATAATAAATAAATAAATAGTGTGCAGATTGAATATCGCTCTTTTACTGCTGGAGTGAGGTATACTTCTGAGGTTTGGGTGGAAGGGCTTCTGGATCACATCTTGTGTTTTTTCTGATGGATCACAGCTTGTGTTTTCTCTGACTGGCATTGGTGTACAGTTCTTGCTTTAGAAATGAGTGGCTGATTATCCCACTATACTGTAAAGGAGATTATAGAAAAATGCTCATCCACTGAGATTCATTGGAAATGTATTTAGACTTGCAACTGATTTAAACATGAAATACAGTCCTTTCCTGTAAAGTTGAACTAGATGCAAGTCAGAGATCGAAAGTCTTCCTTATGCATCAGTTGTCAAGGAGCTCATGAGTCCCAGCAAGAAAGGACTTGGGTTTCAGACAGGGGAGCACATGCCCAATGAATGAAAAGTTCACTTTTGGTATGGGCCGCATCAGTATGGAGAAGACCTGAATCTCTTGTTGGAAGTACTTCTAGTTAAGTGGCCATGCCACTTGCCTGACCACATTCCAAGAACATTTAGCCATAATGACATTACTAGATTATTGTGATTTCCCAGCATTGATGGGAAATTTTTATTCTTGCAGTAGAAGTTGTGCTTGAAGAGGAAAGACATAAGGCACTATTTAGACAAAAGAGTAATTCCTGAACATTTGTAGTATAGACTAAGTATGTCTGAAAATCCCCTAGTTTTTAATGCATGTTCACTGGACAGCCAAAGCTTGCTGCTAAACTGCTGCTAAAATTCAAAGAAATGCTTGTAACACCACTTCTAGTTGCTCAGAAGTAGTCCCACTGAGTTTAAGAGGTTTACTTCTAAACAAGTATGTCTAGCATAAATCACTTCCCTCTTAGTCCAAAGCACGTTTGGTCAAAATTTCTGTTGCTATTGGTGTAACTTAGTGACTAAGCAAGTATGCTGAGAATGGCACCCTTAACCATTCAGACATGCATATTTTCCTGAGGGGGGGGGCAGTACAGAGTGGAACGTGACTTAAAGTTAGCTGGCACTTGTGTAATCTTTCTAGCTGTAGAGAAAAGATAAAATAGCACTGGTTTTGAACAGCAACAGTTGAAGTCAAGTATACA